GACAGTTCTTTGTTGTGGAGATCTGTGCTGTCATTGTAGAATGTTTAACAGCATCCTTGCCCCTACCCACTAGATGCCAGTAGCACATCTCCCACTTGTGACAAGTGAAAATGACTCCAGATATTACCAGATGTCATGGGGGGTGATGGGTGGAGATGGGGCAAAATTGCCTGTGATTGAGAACCACTACTTTAGACTGTTAAAGTATTTTCTTATTTCCCTTCTTTACTGTTTCTCTTCTTCAGTCTGGCCTTCTCTCTGGTGCCAAATTAATAATTTCTAAATGCAAATTTAATAACATTCAGCTTGCCCCAACCTCATATCCTGTAAATGCTCAGTTTTGCATGCAGGACAGAGCCTAGCACCTCTTAGTATTAAAAGCCTTTGAAAAGCTGGTTCCTACCTAACTGTACTTCCTCTATTTCCCTTTTTAAAAAATTTTTAAATCTACTTATTTATTTTTGGCAGCTGGCCGGTAAGGGGATGGGTCTGCACCTTGAGCTAACCAGCCAGCCCTCCGTTTTTTGTTTTTGGGTTTTTTTTTTAAAAAAGCATTTTATTGAGAGATAATCTACACAAACATTTTATTGATAGATAAACAGTCAAATACCCAGATCTTAAATGTATAGCATGTTGACACTTTCTACATATGTATGACCACTATACAGATCAAGATTCAGATAATTTCTATTACTTTGGAAACTTTTCTCATGTTTTTTCCGGTTAGTGATCTGCCCCCACCGCACCCCCACACCCACAGGTAACCACAAATCTGACTTCTATCACAATAGATTTGTTTTCCTTGCCTCTGAACTTAATATAAATGGAATCATACAATACACACTCTTATGTTTGGCTTCTAATGCGACATATTTTTGCTACTCATCCATGTTGTTTTTCTTTTTATGACTAAGTATTCTACTTATGACATATCATACTTGTTACTACTTTCTCTTACTGCTGATGGCCAATTGAGTTGTTTTTGGTTTTTGACTAGTATGAGTAATGGTGCTGTGAACCTCTCTACTGCTACTACTACAACTACTTCCTCCTTCCTCCTCCTCCTCCTTTTTACTATTTTTATTGTGGTAAAATATATATAACATGTATATACCATAAAAATTGCCATTTTAACCATTTTTAGGTGTACAGTTCAGTGACATTGAGTAAACTCACAATGTAGTGCAACCATCACCACTATATATTTCCAAAATTTTTCATCACCCCATACAGACACTGTACCTATTAAGGAATAACTCCCCATTCCCTCCTCCCCCCAGCACCTGATATCCTCAAATCTACTTTCTATCTCTATGAGTTTGCCTATTCTTTGTATTTCATATAAGTAGAATTCTATAATACTTATCCTTTTCATTGTGGCATATTGTACTTAGCATAATGTTTTCAAGGTTCATCCATGTGGTAGCATGTATTAGAACTTCATTCTTTTCTGTGGCTAATTTTCTATTGTGTGTACATGCCACATTTTGTTTATTTATCTGTTGATGGACTTTTGGGTTATTTTCATACTTACCTTTTTTAGCCTCATATCACATTTACTTTTTGCTGCAGCAATGCTAAACTACCATATTCTTTGTGTCATGCTTTTTCTTGCCTCTGTGTTTTTGAATATATGTTATTACCTTTCATGCCTTCCCCCTATCATGTCTGACTGGTGAACTCTCATACATTTTTCAGGGCTTGGTTCAGATGTTACCTTTCTAAAAAATTCCCCAATAGTGCTAAGGCTAACTATCTTCTCTTTGCATCAGATCTTTTTGTTATTGTTCTCCAGCTCATTGCTGTAGTTATTTACGTGTTTCTCTTCTCTACTCGGTTTCAGTACCTGATTGTGTACTCAGTGCCTAGCCCATCATTCTAATAATAAAGGCCATCATTCTGAGCCCTAGGCCTTATGATAGTTTCTTTTTATTCATTATCTTCAATCATCAAACAGAAACAGTATTATTAAAGCCATTCTACAGATAAGGAAACTGATGCTTAGAGAGATTGTATATAATCTTGTCAAAGATTACTGAATGTATCAGTAGCCAAGTTTTATCTGGCTTCAAACTCACTCTTAATCCATTATGCCAAGCCACCTTTCCCTATAACATACTTATTAATAAGAGTTTGGTGAATGAATAAAGTGTTATTGCCTCCTGGCTTGCATTCATCCCAGATGATACATTCTACATTCTGAATATACTTATGTTTTCATTCAACAAACGTGTATCAGAACTGCTGAGGACACAAAACTCTTCCTTCCCCAGCAGCAATGTGATCATTCCTCTTCCCTCCCTGTGATTGGTTGAACCACTCATTTGTCCCTCTTTCCTATAGATGTGTACGGTAGTGAGGCACTCCATCCTGTTTTCCTTATGCAAGCCTGTAATAGAAGGTTAAGTGTGTGAAATGTCCTTTCTTTTGCCAAGGAGGCTGGCTTACCTTTTCCCATCAGTAATCCTTTATGGATTCAACTGCACTTAGCCTGATATTTCAGACTCTTTGCAGTTTCATCAGGTTTTACTTATGATGGTACTGAAAACATTCAACTATGATTCCATTTTATGTGCTTATTTATAGTTTTGAAGCTGAGGACATGATCTTTATTCTCATAGAAAAAAATTGAACACTTCTGTTTCTCTTTGTGAAGAATCAGATACACACTAAATATGCATAAATATTTGAACTATTTTACATATTATATATAATTTTATTTTAAAAAATCATTCTGATGACTTTAAGCCATTTTCAGTTTTCATATAGTTGATGTTTTAATGGAATTTTACCTTTTTAATTTTATGTTTAATTAGGTACAGTCCTTTTTAATTTTCTGTGGAAAATCTTCTAAAGCACTCATTAATTTAGCCACTGTATAAGTATGTTCTGGGAACCATGGGGAAGAAAACCGACACTTAAAGTCTAGTATAGGAAATGATACACTAAAAGAGTAAAATTCTATCAAACATTGAATAAAATGGTATAAGCAAGAGCTGTAATCAGGTATTATATTACTTGTTAGATGAGGGGCACAGACTGAAGAAGTTCAGAAGAGGAGGTAGTTGCTATGGGTTTTAGGTAGGGTATGCATTCTCTGGTGAAAATTGATTCGTAGTGAAAAACTATTAAATATTACACTGGTTCTGTAGCCCTCTAAAGGGCCATAGTACATAAACACATAAGCACATAGTATAACTGAGTCATTAAAATTAAATGGGGATGGGGAAGCAATCTAAAAATGCTTCTAGGGTCAGGGGTGGCAGTAATGAAAGAAAGGCTGAGGAAACACTAGGCTAGGGTAGTTAGGGAAAGGATTTAAACAGGAAATATGATGAGCTGATATTGAAGGATAGTTAGGTAAGTTTTAGGTAAGGAAAGACGGAGGGTGTTTTGTTGGTGGGAATAGTAGAAAGGCAGATTCAAGGGAGTTTTCTTGGAGAATGTACTTTTTTTTATAAATTCAGAGATTGGGTATGTGACATGTCTCACATGCAGCATAATATATGCTGTAGTTAATATCTTGTAAAGTGAAGAGTAGGAAAGTAAAATCTCAGAATTTTTTTTTAAATATGTTCAGATTCAAAGTGTTGTGGTAGATTACCTGTCGCCTCTGTGTGTTCCTTCTTACCAATTAGTTTTCTGATAGTGGTAGAGGTTCATTTCTTCATGCAGTCATGTTATCAGTACTGTTTATCTAGCAGAATCTTGGTTAAATTACAGTTCTCTTGTGCTGTCATTATTCACTTTATTCTGAGTTACAGAATCACAGAATTTTAGAGATGGAGAAGACTGTCGAGATTGTTTGAACTCCTCCTTTTAGATATAAATGAGAAAACTGACACTTAGAAAGGTTGAGAGACCTGCGATAAAGAGCCATTGATGTTAGTTAGAACCAGGCTTACTACCTAGGTCTCCTGACTTTCAGTCATTGCCTTTTTCACAGTGTCATTATGTCTAAACTATTATGAAGTGTGGTCTGGAAACAGAAATCTTAATTTTAGTGATTTATCTCTAAAGACCTTACCAGATTGTCACTTCTTGCTCCATTTCCCCAGAGAAATGAATCATTTCCTCAAGAATATGGAAGAACAATGAGTTTTAGATTTTTGACTTTTTTTACTTTATTAGCTTTTTTTTTTTTTTGTCTTTTTCCGTGTCCGGCAACGGATCGCAACCCTCAGTGTCGCCCCCGTACCGTACCGGACCGGGACCGGCAACGGGATCGCAACCCTCGGTGTTGCTCCCGCGCCTCGCTCAGCCAGTGAGCTGGAACCGGTCTGTATGTGGGATCCGAACCCTCGGGCGGGAGCGCCACCGCGCTTCCCAAGCGGCGCACTATCCAGTGCGCCACCGGGCCGGCCCTACTTTATTAGCTTTTACCTTGGGCAACTTATTAACCTCTTTGCCTAAAGTTCTTATATGTTAAGTGGGGATAAGAATACTTATTTAATGAAGTGGTTGTCAGGATTAAATTAGATGACTTATGTAAAGACCTTTCCTCTGTGCTTGGCATACTTAAAAGTTTAGTAAATGTTGTTTTTCTTTCCTTTCCTTCTTTTGCCATAGAGCACTTGCCATATTGTATTACAGTTATTTATTTTATATGTACCAGGTGGGATTCTTGGTGATTTTCCTCTCAATAATTTCTAAACTTTATATAATATTATTATGTGGTCTATGAAAGTAACTCTTAAAACAAACAAACAAACAAACCAGTAAAGCCATTCCAGGAATTTGCTACTGAAAGAAACATAGGAATGCTGTTATAGTAGACAGTTTATTCATCTGTTAGAGAAGAATTGGGTGTAACTATTATTCATTTTTACTACTGATAATTCTATAATAAACTGACTTTACTTACTATATTGTTGATACTTGTTTGAAACCTTGTTTTGACCTTAAAAGAATTTTATCATAATTTTGTAAGGAAAGTATATTGATTGTGTCATTTTGGCTTCTTGTTTCCGTCCTTGACTTTTTCTACGATTGCCTTACAGATCTCTGAGGAACATGAATGCAATGATGAAGCTTCTCAGGAAGATGAGGGGTTTATGGGGATGTCCCCTCTCTTACAAGCCCATCATGCTATGGAAAGAATGGAAGAGTTTGTTTGTAAGGTAAGATTGCAATTTCTTATCATTTCTAAGCTATATATTTAGCCCTTCCCAAACAAGAAAACTTTAAAGAGAACTGTAAAACCTTAGCCTTCGGTTTGCTTTGGGGAAAATCTGTGACAAAATGGGGACACAGGCAGTATCATGACTTTAACCCAGTTCAAGGCATGATACACTGGCAGCAGCCATGGTAACATTCTGATAAAACTAGAATATCCAGTTGGGAAACAAACTTTTCCTGATAAAGGGTAACAGAGTAAATAATTTAGACAAAACAGGATGAAATACAGTTGGGAGTGGTTGATGCCTGGAGATACTAAAATGCCATCCCCAAATCCCTTGAAGCTATTCTGTCTGGCTGTGATGGCAAATGTGCTACTCTTTCTAGGGATTCTGTGGGTAATCAAAGCTACTCTTGATATAGAAAATTCCGAGTTTTCATGCACATCAAAAAGTTTCAGTTCAGTTGATATATTTTCTGTCTCTAAGGATTTTCTTCCAATTCATTATCTGATTCCCTACGACCTATTGTGGGAATTTTTCCCCCCTAAAATGGTAACTAGAATTGAGGATACTTGCTAAGAAAATAGGGACACTGGTAAATTTATAGACACTTGATTAATCAGATCAATAAGGGCCTTGGCAAGTATGATCTAAAGTCTGCATAAGTTAGTTTGTCTGTATGTGTATGTGTATATAAATTAATGTATTAAACATTTCTGGAAAGCTCTTGATTATTTAGGGAGAAATTTTTGTGACATTTTTCATGGGTTTTATGAAACAAGAACTTTTTATGCATAAGGTTCTCAATCCTGAAAAGTAAATTTAGGGTTTCCTACATTCACAGTGATGCTGGAAATAAGTGGGGCCAGACTTAGAATACTATACTTTGGACCAGGGAATGAGAAGAGAACATTATACTCTGAACATAGACATCCCTTCCAAGATTAAGGCCTAGGTGGGTTGTGGGGGTTGGTGGTATATAAACATTTATGGGTCTACATAGAGCCCAGGAAATTTTAATTGATGTTTGAAAATTGGTGATGAAAAACCCAAGCAAAACAGTAAATCCATTCTAGTGATCACTGTCTCAAAATTAGCACAAAGGGATATAAAAGATATGTTTTGTTTTTCAAAAACCAAATTTAGTGTGAAGAAATCTCTGAGTTGCATATTTAATGCCTGGGCCGTTAGGGAATTTTAATATTTAGAGGTCAGTGGAGTATGGTATCTGACTTGACTCCCTTGTTCTCCTCCCTTTCTGAGCTGAGAATAAGGAATAAAGCAAGTAAAACCTTCAGTTCAACAGTTAATGGGAGAATAAATAGGGTGGGCATTTGTTTACTACAAACTATGATTACCGAAGAAAAATGAGTGTGGCACAAAAATTACTACAATTCCCTTATCCCTTAGAAGTTGGTCCATAAGAACAGAATGAAAACGGTAACACCTGTCTGTTACCCAGTGTTATCCAGTGTTGATCTATCCCACTGTGGCACTGCAGCTGACCATACTTGAAAACTAGCCATGTCTAGTGACACAGGGATTCTGTTTCTTGGATTGGAAACAAGTAAACAGAGATAGTTTAAACTGGAGAGGTGTGCTGTGGCCTTGCTGGTGTGTCTTCCCTTTTGGAAAAGGTTTTTTTTTTTTTATAGGAATAGGGGAAATAAAGTAACTTAGTCTTTAGACTTTGCAAGTTTGATCCTGGTCTCTCTTTTTTCCCTAGACTTCAGTTTTTGCTATTTTACCAGCATAGCCAGGCCCATGTGGGAATAAGAAGTGTGCCATGGTAGTTTAAAATAAAATTGTTTATGCATGCATTTTATGGTCTAATACAAACCTAGTACACTATTGCTGAGATGTTTGATTCAGGCAGTGACTTTGTCAAGCATATAAATAAATATGTCTTTGGCTAAGCTGTGATCCTATTCTTTTTTTCCAGGGGGTAAAAGAGGATATTTGTGTTGGCATTTGGCTGACTGTATATGACTCCAAGTTGAGAATGAGGTACAGCATCTGTTGGATATGCCACTAATTGCAGTGTAATTATTCCTAATTAGGAAAGTACAGCTCCTTGGCTCAGTATTTAGACCACTAGCGTGTTTAGAAACAATGGAGAAAAATCACTCTGACATTATATGCTTATATAACTAGAAAGAAACTCAACATATTTTCTGACTATAAAAAGGGAGCATTTGACTATGTTGTCTGTGTGGTAGTACAATAGCACTTTTGATATGGTCACAGCAGAGCTGTTTGTACATTGTGAACTGCCTTGAAGATACCTTGAAGATTGATTTCTATCTTCTTTTCCCTCTTAGAAAATAAAATTCTCCCAAAGTAAAATAGAGTAGCAACATTTTGTAAGGTTAATTCTCAATAATAATGATCTCTTTCCCAAGCTCAAATTAGATACAAAAATTAAATATCTTGGTCTTTGTCTTTTTCTCCATAAAGTCCTATGGAAGATCTCATATAGCTACTTTTACAAGTTGTAGTACTATTAGCAGTAGACATTAAAAATCTAGATTAGTCTTTTTGGCATTATTTTATTTTATTGTATGTTAGGAACAAGCATGGAATGGCCAGATTAGCACCAGTAACTATAGGCTTCAAGTTTTGACTTGGAAAGTGAGGGAGAGAGGAAGAGAGGAAGGAAGCGGGTGAGAGGAGAGAAAGGGAGAGGGAGAAGTGGTGGGAGAGGGAGAAAGCGGTGGGAGAGGGAGAAAGTGGTGGGAGAGGGAGGGAGGATTAGTTTTGGTAGAGTTTTAAAAGGGTCACATCTGTTCTTTTTCTTTTTTTTTTTTTTTTTTTTTTTTTTTTTTTGTCTTTTTCCGTGTCCG